GATTTTCATTTGCATTTCCCTGATGACTAATAAAGTTGGGCATCTTTTCATGAGCTTATTTGCCATGTGTAGATCTTCTTTGGAGAAATGTGTATTCAGATCCTCTGTCCACTGTAAAATTCTGTTGTCTTTTTATTGTTGAGTTGTAAGAGTTCTTTTTTTTTTTTCAACGTTTTTTATTGATTTTTGGGACAGAGAGAGACAGAGCATGAACGGGGGAGGGGCAGAGAGAGAGGGAGACACAGAATCGGAAACAGGCTCCAGGCTCTGAGCCATCAGCCCAGAGCCTGACGCGGGGCTCGAACTCCCGGACCGCGAGATCGTGACCTGGCTGAAGTCGGACGCTTAACAGACTGCGCCACCCAGGCGCCCCGAGTTGTAAGAGTTCTTTATATATTCTGGATATTAGAACCTCAACAGATATATGATTTGCAAATATTTCCTCCCATTCTGTGGATTGTCTCTTGAATTTCCTGATAATGTCCTTTGGACCACAAAAGTTTTAATTTTAAGAGATTTAGAGAGGGGTGCCTGGGTGGCTCAGTTGGCTAAGCGTCTGACTTTGGCTTAGGTCACGATCTCACTGTTTGTGAGTTCAAGCCCGGCGTTGGGCTCTCTGCTGTCAGCACAGAGCCTGCTTTGGATCCTCTGTACTCCCTTTCTCTGCCTTTCCCAGGCTTGTGCTCTCTCTGTGTCTCACTCAAAATAAATAAATAAACAAAACATTTTTAATTAAAAAAAAAAAAAAGAGCCTTAGAGATTTAGCTCCTACATTGAGTTCTCTGATCCATTTGGAGTTAGTTTTTGCATGATATGAGGGAACGATCCAAATTCTTTTTTTTCTCTTTTTTTTTTTTTTTTGCATCTGGCTATCCAGTTGTTTCATCACCATTGTTGAAAAGACTATTCTCTCCCCATTGAATCCTGGCATTCTTGTTGCCAAAAAATTGTCCATAAATTTATGGGTTTATTCCCGGACTCTGGATTCTATTCCATTGACCTGTACATCTATCCTATACCAGAACAACACTCTTGATTACTGTAGCTTTGTAGTAAATTTTGCAATAGAAAAGCATTAGTCCTTCAACTTTGTTCCTTCTTGAGAATGTTTTGGCTATTCTGGGCTCCTTGGATTTCCATATGAATGTTTGGATCAGCTTGTCAATTCATGCCAAAAAGCTGACTGGGATTTTGATAGAGACTGTGTTGAGTCTGCAGATTCATTGTGTTGAATTTGGAGAGTATTGTGACATTAAGTCTTCCCATTCATGAACATGGGCATCTTTCCATTTATTTAGATCTTCCTTATTTTCTTTCAGTAACATTTTGTTTTCATGTACAAGTCTTGTACTTCTTTTGCTATATTACTTTAATGCTTAACTGTCTTATTCCTTCTGATGCTGTTACTTATGGATGTTTAACAAGGATGAGCCCTTACTATGGATGCTTAACAAGAATGAGCCCTTCTGTTAAGTTTCTCAAGATCCACATATGAGTGAAAACCTTTGTGGATCCTGGGAAACGTAACAGAAGACCATGGGGGAGGGGAAGGGGGAAAAAAGTTACAGAGAGGGAGGGAGGCAAACCATAAGAGACTCTTGGATACTAAGACCAAACTGAGGGTTGATGGGGGGTGGGGGAGGAGGGGAAAGTGGGTGATGGGCATGGAGGAGGGCACCTGTTGGGATGAGCACTGGGTGTTGTATGGAAACCAATTTGACAATAAATTATGTTAAAAACAACAAGAATGAGCCCTTACCTATGGCTGTTTAACAAGGATGAGCCCTTCCTATGGGCGCCATCTTGTATCTGCTCTTTTCAATTCAATTACATCATAGACATTTCCCCCAAGTTATTAAGAATGCTTCTTCAACATCATATTTTAAGGCTGCATGTTAGCCCACCGTGTGGTCACACTAACTTATTTGGCCATTCTGTTGTGGGCTACTTAGGTTCTTTACAATTTTTCCATTTTTAGATATTACTGTAATAAGTATTTCTATGTACCATGCTATGTCTGCAAGTCAGATTACCTCCTTCTAAGTACTCGCGTATTCTTGTTCTAACAGCCTTTGTTTCTACTCTTGTGAGGAGGTGTGAGACTCCACGTCACTTGGAACTCCTTGAAGCCCACTTCCCTTGCAATCCCACACCATCCCCAGGGCCAGGCCTGCACCTTCAAGGGAGGCTCCTTCAGAAAGCTTCGCCCGGGGGCCCCCGAACACGGGCAGGTGCAGCCATCTTACTCCCCACCCCCACCCCAGTACTGTGTCCTAACCTCACCAGAGCTCTTGTTCCTGTGATATAAATGCTTGGCAACTTGTTGTATCTCAACAAGACTGTGAGGGCCAACAAGAGAGAGCACTTTTATACCTCCAGCCCTTGGTCTATAGAAAGCCCTTAATGGGGGCACCTGGGTAGCCTCCATCAGTTGAAGGTCTGACTTGCTTTTGGCTCAGGTCATGATCTCACAGTTAGTGAGTTTGAGCCCCGCATCGTGGTCTGTGCTGACAGCGTGGAGCCTGCTTGGGATTCTCTCTCTCTCTCTCTCTCTCTCTCTCTCTCTCTCTCTCTTTTTCTGCCCCTCCCATGCTTTCTCTCTCTCAAAATAAATAAACTAAAAAATATGTTTAAAAATATTAAAAAAAAAAGAAGACCCTTAATAAGTGTTTATTGAATAAATGAGTCAGGCAGAACACAGAGCTCAAGGCCTTAGACCAGAATAGGGGCCCTGGGTCAGGGAATTAGGGCCACTCGGGTTTTAGAGTGACCCACAGAGTATTGTGAGCTGGGAAGGGCCCCTGCGGTTCCCTCATTCCGGAGTTTTCAAACCTCTTTTATCACCACAATATGATGTAAGACATTGGATAGGGAGAGGAGAGAGAAGAAATGGAGAGGGAGGTGGTGGAAACTGAAGCCCGGTCTGGGGATTCCCTCAGTGGCCCCCGAGAGACCACAAAAAAACCAAGTCTGTAAAGATGATTTAACTAGTCCAACATTCTAATTTTCCAGACAGGGAAAGGGTGCTCTTGAGCAGAAGTGACTTGTTCAAGGTCCCACAGTTAGTGGCAGAGAAAAGGACTCAGAAGTGACTCCCATTCACAGAAGATTCCAAAACTGAATCCAGTGTCTGAGGAGCATCTTTGTAGCAATCACGAAAAATGCACTAGGCAAGCATCTAGAATTCCATTAACCGAGCGCGCACTAGGCAAGCTTCTAGAATTCCATTAACTGAGCGCCATTGTTTAAACTAGTGTTCCCATGTAGCATTTTTTTTAATGTTTATTTATTTTTGAGAGAGGAGGAGACAGAGCGCTAACGGGGAAGGGGCAGAGAGAAGGAGACACAGACTCGGAAGCAGGCTCCAGGCTCCGAGCTGTCAGCACAAAGCCGGATGCGGAGCTCGAACCCAGCAACCCTGAGATCATGACCTGAGCCGAAGTCAGAGGCGTAACTGACTGAGCCACCCAGGCGTCCCTCCATGTAGCATGTTAAAAAAAAAAAAAATGTGTATTTATTTTTGAGAGAGAGAGGGAGAGGCAGAGAGAGGGGGAGACAGAGAATCCCAAGCAGGCTCTGAGCTGTCAGTGCAGAGCCCAACGTGGGGCTCGAACTCACTAACCGTGACATCATGACCTGAGCTGAAACCAAGAGTTCAACGTTTAACCGACTGAGCCACCCAGGCGCCCCCCTCCTCCCTCCGCACCACATTTAGCATATTTTAAAAGTAAAGTTAATTTTACGGAGAAAATGTGATGAAGAGGAGTGTGACAAAGTGAGCAATTGTGACAAACCTTACCGGGAGATGCCGGTTTTTCTCTTCCAGTTTCTGGAGCAGGTGCACCCTTAACTTCCCGTAAATACTGATATAGGGAGGCCGATGGGCGGATTTTTTCAGGTTTTAGTTCTGCGGGGGCTTGGCGAGGCCCAGGCACAGTGGGTGTGGCTGGGGGCATGTGCAACTTCTCCTGCTAACTTGTTAGCCAAGTGCAGCTAACTGCACAGTTTGCTCAGTGGAGCCACCTTGCAAGTGCAAAGTCCCCAGCTTGGCGCGCATTCCGGGACCCCGGGGCCCGGCGTCTCGCTCGGGGCCCCACCCCCACCCCCACCTCCTCCAGCCCCAATCACGGTGTCAACGACCCCGGCCAGGCCAGAGGCTCCCGAGTCAGGGCATCATCAGTATCAAAGAGGCAGGTCCCGGCACAGCGTTTGATGAGCCTACTCAAACCTCCAAACGCCTGTTCCTGCAAGCTGAGCACTGGTCCCGCCGAAACCGCTCCCGAGGGGCCCCCTCCCAACCCCTGCGCGCTCCCCGGAGACTCCTTCCCCACGTCTGTGGCGGGACTAGCTCAGCGTCGCAGCCAAAGCTGTTCTCGGCGTTCCCGGGGCCAGTTAGGACAAGTCCCTCGGCCGCTCCGGGGCTGTAGACTGGCGGCGAGTAGAACACCCCCAAACCTCCGGAAACGGGCGCGCGCGAGTTTCCATGGCAACCATACCCGCCAGGGAGCCTCAGCAATACCCACCAGGCCCCAAGGACCCGGGCTTCCGGGCCCGTGATGGTCTCTATGGTTTCGGCAGCCTAGAGGGGCCGAGTCCCCGGCACTTCCGGGAAGATGGCGGCGCACTGGTCGGAGGAGGCACGTGTTCCTGCGGAGAGGGCCCCGCGGTGACGGTAAGGGGCTACCGCCCTCCGCGACGGTGGCATTCGGAGCCCGGGCTCGGGAGCAAAGGCTAGAGCAGGAGAGAAGCTTTGCCCGGCGGGACCGCGGCGGGAGGGCTGGGATTTAAACCTCACGAGGAAGGAGGCTAGGGAGAGGGTAGCGGCCCTTTGGAACTGCTGTCAGGAGACTGGCCTAGGCCACTTTCCCAGAAAACTCAGGTTGACAGGAGAGGAGATAGTTCGTGCAGGCGCGCTCGCAGACTTCACAGAGCCTGCGGCGCGCAGCCTGGGATCTAGTTGCTTCTGTCCACAGTTATCCATGGGCAGCGGGCTAAAGCAGCCCCCACCTGTGTCATACCGGCTGGACGCATTCTCACTCCGGGCGCTGCGTTAAGTGCACTGGGGTTGGAGAACGAAGTCCGACTCCGATTTCCAGGGCGAACGGTTTCTGCCACGAGGGAGAGGCTGCGGTAAACCTTTCGTCGGGAAGCACAGAGAGCCGTAAGAGACCGAGGGGGTATTAACACCAGTTCTGGGATGTCTGAGATCCCGGATCCACGACTTGCCAGCTCTCTGATTTGGGCGGGTAGCTAAACTCCTCAGTGCCATTTCTTCGTTTGCAAATGATGGCAACACTTGCTAGTAGGATTGTTGGGAGGAGGAAATAAGATAATCTGTGTAAAGCAATTAGCATGTTGGCATCGAGTAAATGTGTTCGTGTTAGATGTTTTTATTATTGAAATTTGGGGGCTGATGCATCAGCGGTAACTTCTGGGAGGAGGCAGAGTTTTGAGGTAGCCTTAAAGGCCCCAGTGTCTTTTTACCATTCTTAAAAATTCAAGAAGCAAGACAGAGCCATTTCTTCATTCAGCGCTTTTCTGTTGGGATTCTCGGAGTATCAGGTTTTCAGGTAATCGTCCTTTAATCGTCCTTCACGGTAAGAACCTGAACAGAAATGGAAGTCATTCTGAGTTTGTTTTCATACCTAACCAGACTGGTCATGATTGTTTTTTTTTTGTTGTTTTTTTTTAATGTTTATTTTATTTTTTGAGAGACAGAGAGCGAGCGGGGGAGGGGCAGAGAGAGTGGGAGATCTAGAATCTGAAGCAGGCTCCAGGTTCCAAGCTGTCGGCACAGAGCGGGCCTCGAGCCCATGAACTGCGAGATCATGACCCAAGCTGAAGCTGGACGCTCAACCAACTGAGCCATCCAGGCGTCCCTTTGTTGAGTATTCTTATAACTCAGGTTAAAAGACTCTCAGCTTTGTTTTTACATGGTAATAAACGGTGGGAGATGTTGTCAGGCAGTGGTGAAGAGCAGGGAGTCTGCAGACAAGATGTCTGGTTGCCATCTACACATCAGCTGTGTAACCTGGAGCAAGTTGCCTAACCTCCTTAGGCCTTAATTTCCTCATTTCTAAAGTAGGGAGAGTAATACCTTTCTGAATGCAGAGTACTCTTCCCGGGCTGGGAAGATTGAGTGAAATCATCATGTGGTGAGCTCTCGGTACATTTCGGTATTATTATTGACACTAGGATTTGACTTTCCGACTTGCTGACCTCTCTGTGGTCAGACAGAGAGCTCCCCAAAGACTGGGCCTCCTTCCTCTGTCTCTGCCCCAGGTTCGGAAAAGAATTTTTCTGAGAGCAGCCCGGATGGATTCGATGGGTGATTTGGGCACTTTCTCCTTTTCTCTTGAAGGGATGAGAATGATGTCGTCTACTCTGCTGAAGGCCTGAGCTTAGTGACCCTCCCGTCACCATGAGTGTCACGCCAGAGACTAAGAGTCGTGGGATGAAGTTTGCCGAGGAGCAGCTGCTGAAGCATGGATGGACCCAAGGTCAACCCCGTGGCGCCCCTTCCACATCCTTCCAACTTTCTGCCCAGGGGAGCGGCAGCGTCCTGGGCTACCCATTTGTAATCCATGCAGCTGGAGGAGGAAAAGCTAGTTTATTTTATTTATTTATTTTTTTTTAATTTTTTTTTTTCAACGTTTATTTATTTTTGGGACAGAGAGAGACAGAGCATGAACGGGGGAGGGGCAGAGAGAGAGGGAGACACAGAATCGGAAACAGGCTCCAGGCTCCGAGCCACCAGCCCAGAGCCCGACGCGGGGCTTGAACTCACGGACCGCGAGATCGTGACCTGGCTGAAGTCGGACGCTTAACCGACTGCGCCACCCAGGCGCCCCTGGAAAAGCTAGTTTAAAGGGAAATTTACAGGTGAAAATTCCCAGCTTTTCCAGAAAATGGAAGAGTGGAAGAAATTTTACAGTGGGTCCGTGAGAAAGAAGTGGTTGGGAGGACTGGGAGAGGGGGGAAGGGGCACAACCTCTGTCCTGGAGGAAGCATGAAGGAAAAGACAGCTTGAGCTCAGACAAAGGCAGGGACACTGTGTGCAGAAATGCCAGGAACAGTGGGACTGGAGGGCATCCGCCCGGGACGGAGTGTACCCAGCGCTCCGTGTGGGAGGGCAGAGTGGCCCTCCCAGTGGGGGCTCAGGGCAGGCAGCAGAATAAACGGGTCGCTCCCCGTCCTGCAGGCAAAGGTCTGGGCCGGAAGGAGAATGGCATCACCCAGGCCCTCAGGGTGACGCTGAAGCAGGACACTCATGGGGTAAGACTGGGCAGGCTGAGGGAGGGCAGTGTGGATGGGAGAGGGGGACTCTGGGGACAGGGCAGGGACGGGTCCTCAGGGTTCACACTTCTTTCTGGCAGGTGGGACATGACCCTGCCAAGGAGTTCACGGACCACTGGTGGAATGAGCTCTTCAACAAGACTGCAGCCGGCTTGGTTGTGGAGACTGGGCAGGTAGGAGTGCTGACAGATGGCCATTGGACCGTGGGGGCCTGGGACACGCCTGTGCCACCCATTGACTGACACCTTCCCCCAGGATGGAGTCCGGATAAGGCATCTTTCTAAGGAGACTACCCGTCGTAATCGTCCCAAGCCCAACTTGCTGTATCAGAAGTTTGTAAAGGTACCAGGGGCTGGGCGTGAGAGGGTCCATCCTTTTTCCCCCCCTCCCTGGCCTCCCCCGGGGCCTGAACAGTTGCTTTGCATGCCTTACCTGTTCTGGGGACCACCCTAACGTCGCATTCTGTGACCAGCCTTGCCATTGCTTGTCTAGACTGCCTGGCCCTCGGCCAGGACTGAGGTCTGCAGGTCCCGTGGATCCTACCATCTGCTGAGGGGCGGCGATAGAGGCTGGGGAGACAGAGATGCTGCCAGAGCAGGGTGAGAGGGGATGTCCGGTGCAAAGGACTCCAAATCCAGAGGGGACCTGACCCATCCTCTTTATTGTGCAGTTGTGGCCCAGAGTGGGGAAAGTGGCTTGTAGACAGGACTAGAACCCAGGTCTGCAGACTCCTGCTTTCCAGCATACTGATAGAAGGGAGCATCTGTTATGTGCTATGGGCTCTGTGTCATGTAGCAGCCCTTTCCCCTGGTCCTCATCACTGTGGCCGTTGTCCTCTCTGCTGGATTTTGTCCCAGCCTTACATGCAGACTCCTCACCCGTTAGTTCAGTGCCACAGAGCATCCAGAGTGCTCTCCGTAACAGAGTTCACTGGGGCTCTGGCTCGTCCCTGACCTAGGAGGACAGTCCTGATGTGTCACACTGGTTCATGTGGCCCTGCAGCCTGGTCCTGTACTCACCCTTGTTGAGACCTCTGCACTGTTAGCCGGATAGAATCAGTTCTCAGGAATGTACCATCTTCTTTCACCTTTGGGGCTTTGCACGTGCTCCTCCCGCTGCCTTTCCCCCTCTGCCTGCCAACTTTTGTCTGTCTTCCGGAGCTCACCAAGGTCCTGAAGCTTCCCTAAACCCTGAAGTCAGCTTGGGTACCCCTCCTCTGGCACAGGCAGCGCTTTCACCATGATGGCCTGTGTTCTGCCATCCTCCCTTCGCCCCACACGTAGATTTCACGTGGGCTGGACCTCTCGATCCTGTTCGACTGTGTACCCCAACCCTTGGCCCGTGGTAGGTTTTCAGTCTGGTTAAATAAAGCCCTGTGTGTAGGTGTGGGGGAGGGGTGAGAAGCACCGTCTTTACAGTTAGCACCATGAGGACCTGCTGGTCCGGAGCGCTCCCTCCTCCCTTCTGCCCACTACCCCCCCACCCCCCACAGCTGCAGCCCACCTCCTGCCCAAGTTGGAAGTATGCAGCTCGGCACACCTCCCTGGGGGTCTCAGGGAGCCGTATCGGGGACTGGCAGATTTGTGCCTATGGCTACCAATTCCTGGGGGGGGGGGTTCCAGGAGGGGAGAGGGATTGGCAGTGGTGTTGAGCGGGCTTTGTCCACCCCCCCCATGATCACTCCTTCTAGACGGCCACGTTGACGTCAGGTGGTGAACAGCCAGACAAAGACGTGGAGAGCCACAGTGATGATGACAGCCAGGGGTCCAAGCCTCCAAAGATGTGAGACCTCATTTCAGTGGTGGGGGGGGGGTGCGGGAGAAGAGACCTTTGAACCTCCAGAGAAGGCACCAAGTCTCGTGCCTGACTGGGCTGCTTCGGGTGGAACCGCGTTGTACTGATCTTTGCATCGCTGGCACCTAGAAGTGCCAGGTCCCGAACAGGAAGTCAGTGTTGAAGGAATGCCTTAGAGGGCAGGCCTTTCCACGAGCTCTGTGTGTAATTCTTGATCCCCCCACCCCACAGTCTGACCGATGAGATGCTGCTCCAAGCCTGTGAGGGGCGAACAGCACACAAGTGAGTAGTGTTCGGCTCCCCGGGCTCCCCGCCTTCCTCCCTGTCGCAAGCCCACCCTAGAGGATGGTGTGCGCCACTCTGTACTCTTCCCACCCCAGGGGAAGGGTTCCAGCTGCCCCTGCAGGCAGCTCCGCGGCACCTGGGGGCTCAGTCGCTTAAGTGTCCAGCTCTTCATCGTGGCTCAGGTCATGATCTCACGGTTCATGAGATCGAGTCTCACGTCGGGTTCTGTGCCAACCGTGTGGAACCTCCTTCTTTCTCTGTCCTTCCCCTGCTCACGTGCGCCTTCTCTCAAAACAATAAACGTTGGAAAGAGAGAGAGGCAGCTCCTCCCCTGCCAGTTCTGCACACAATCTCAGGACTAGGCCTGCTCCCCCATACCTCACTCCGACCCGGGCCTCCATGTGTTTCAGGGCTGCTCGTCTTGGGATCACGATGAAGGCTAAGCTCGCTCGGTTGGAGGCCCAAGAACAGGCCTTCCTGGCTCATCTCAAAGGCCAGGACCCCGGAACCTCTCAACTACAGTCTGAGAGCAAGCCCCGCAAAAAGAAGAAAAAGAAAAGAAAGCAGGAAGGGGAGGAAGAGGCTACGGCAACTGATGGGGATGCAGAAGAGGAGTGCCCAGAGGACCCAGGCCAGAGCACCAGGAGAAGGCAGAAGAAGAAAAGGCAACAGCGAGAAAAGGCGGTTGCGGATGAGACAGGGGGCACAGCTGTCGGGGACGGGGAGGCCACAGGAACAAGTGAGCTGGGAGAGTGGAAGAACGGGGAGCAAACGGATGAGCCCTTCGGGAAAAGGAAGAAGCGGCGGCACCGAGCAGAGAAGGTGGGGGTGTCGGGTGGAACAGGAGGCATTGGGCCGCAGCAGGCGGAGAGCGGGGCGCACGCGGAGCCGGGCAGCAGACGCGAGCAGAAGCGGCGGCAGCAAGACTTGGGCGCAGAAGCCACGGCCCGGGCTGCCGAAGACAGCGGGGCCCAGGAGGCAGCAGGCAGAAGGCACGGTGACGGGAAAAGCAGGAGAAGCAAGAAGAAAAGGCAGCGGCCCCAGGAGGAGGAGGATGTGAGGGAGGGGGAGGGGGCAGAGCTGGATGGAGTCCGCCCTGATGGGAGAACAAGGAAGGAGAAACCGAAGAAAGACTGAAGGGCAGGTCAAGGCGGGGCTCTACAGATTCCTTTTCAGGACTTGAAGTCTGAGACCCCAGTGGACGAGGGCTCCTGCACCCTCCCCGTGAGGAGTCCCTCCCGAGGAGGAAGCCGAGTGCCGGAGCGCCAGCTGCTCACAGGACGGTGTGGGCACGCGCTGGGGGCCGTGGGGACAGGAAGGCAGAGGCCCTCTGGAGGGGCACCCTTGCTGAAGGCAGATGCGAGTGTGGGCAGAATGGACTCCAGCCCATAGCCTGCCAGTGTCGGCACTAGAAAAAGTGGTTAGCTTGGGCTCCAGGCCAGGTCAAGTCCTGACTGGCCTCCCCCCCCCCCCCCCGCTAACATCCTAAATACAAATTCGTTTCCTGGGATGCCTCTGAAGGGATTTCTTCTGTTCACCTCCATCTTGCTACCCTGTTAGTGGATGGAGAAAGCTCAGAGAACCTCACTTGGGTTTTTTTTCAGCATCTGAAACTCCATTTTCATTGCCCTCAAATGCCACGGCCACCTCCCTTGCCTGCTCCGTTCTCCCAGAAAGGTGGCGCCATGTCTCATTCAGTTTGCTGTCCAGCTCCTGCCACCCCGTAACTTTTATTGCCTGAACAGCTCCCAGGACCCCACGGCGCTGGGAGGGGGGCGCTAAGTCTTTATTGGGAAGGACGCCCGCCCGTCTTCCCTCACTGCAGACGGTAGACACACTCCGTGTCAGGGTAGGGCGGCAAGTTCAGCTGGTACTTCTTTTCCAGAGCAGGAGGCACGAAACGACCTCCCAGGTAGTGATAGCGACCGGTGAAGTGGCTCGCAGACTTTTTGGGTGCAGTCAGGGAGATGAGCAAGTCTGGCTGGATTCCTCCAGAATTTCCCTTCTCCACATCCCATCCTGAAAAGAGGGTGTATTCAGGCAGAGAGAAGAGAGCAGGTGTCCATTCTTCCCTACTTTGTTCTGCCCCTGTCCTGAACGAGCGGGGGCCCCGTGTCTCCGCCTGGGGAACCCGCATCCTTGGAGCTCCATGGCCATGGCTTCCTAGGCTTTGGTCTCTTGGGTCCAGCACACAAAAGGTGCTCCCGGCCTGCCCCCTGGCCCTTTTGTGGAATCCCAAAAGCTGTGTTCTGCCCCTTTACGCTCAGCTTGTTTAGAGCTTGGTCTGAGCCTGGGAAGAATGAGGACTCCTGGGTACCTATCTCAAGAAAGGGCAGGACCCAGGCCCCATCCCGCCCAAGCTCCTCGGACCCGGCACCTGAGGGAATGTCGATACTCGCAATGGGCACGGTGAGCCCACTCAGGACGCTCAGGATGCTCCGGAATGGCTCCCGGACATCCCCTTTGAAGCTGAAGCCGAAGATGGCATCCACTACCAGCTCGTACAGTTCGTCGATCAGCATGGGCTGTGGTGGAGCAGGGAGAGGAGAGGGTGTGGGAGCCCCTGACCGGACAGGGCTGTCCCCTGCACACGCCACTCAGGGGCACACGGGTCATTTTATCTCCCTCAGAGACTTTGGTGCAAACTGGTCAGTGATTTAGACCAAGCGGAGTCCACACATGGTTTCTGTTCCGAGTGCCTGTCCGCCTGCCTGCCATTGGGGCGGGGACAGGGTGGGGCCACCTGCAGCTGGAGGCAGGACAGACCCCTTGCTTTCTCTGCAACACCTCAGTCTCTTCACCTGTGAAATGCGTTAAGAAACTTAAAAAGCAAAGTTCTTATGTCTTAGGTCCATGTCCCTGCAGAAAGGGCTTAGGATGAGGCAGTCACATCAGCCCCTTCTCAGGGGGTTACTGCCTGCCCAGCAGGCCCTGACCTCAGAAGTCAGAGGGAAAGGTGTGGCCATGGATGTGAGAGGCGGCCTCAGGCACTGCTGGAACGGGGGCAGGCTCTTCACACTGTTCCCGGTCAAACGGTACACTTAGGCACCTGTGCGGGGCACTTCCCCACCTGCCCGGAGTCTGTCCTCCAGAGACATGGGCGGGGGAGCTCAGCCTGGAAACACGAGGGGAGAGCACAGCCACCTACCTCCGGGGGCATTTCACCAAGGAAGGGGATGTCCATTTTCTGGCACTGGGTCACCAGTGCACCGAAGAGTGGCTTGTTAGGCCTTTTGGGGTAATAGATGGTTGGCTGGTAGCCCTAGGGGGAAGGAGAGGGGTCATTCAAAGTCAGACTTCGGAGCCCCCCCCCGCCCAGCCCTTCCCCGATACTCACAAACAGCTTGAGGTGCCGGGCACAGACCAGGCCGTCTCCTCCGTTATTCCCGGGCCCGCAGATGACCAGGACCGTGGGGGGGCTCCGGGACATAGACTTGGGGGGATAGGCCTGGAGGCGGAGTCAGGGGGCGTCACAGGGGCCCTGGGCGGCCC